TTTTGTAAGTCTATCAACAATTACCCAAATTGCATCTCGCTTACTTATTGTCATTGGAAGTCCTGTGACAAAATCCATAGTCACCATATCCCATTTCCATTCTGGCAACGGTAAACCCAGTAAAAGACCACTTGGATTCCTGTGTTCCGCTTTTACCAACTGGCAAGTCGTGCATTTTGCTACCCATTCTGCTACATCTCGCTTCATCCCCTTCCAATGATAATACCTTTCAAGTCTCTATACATCTTGGTAGAACCTGGATGAATGGCGAAACGCGACTGGTGTGCTTGCTTCAAGATTTCTTCCTTTAGATCTTTATTATCTGGGACACACACTCGACCTTTAAAAACAAATGTTCCATTCTCTGTGGTATGATAACCCACAACTTCAGTTTCTACTAATTGCCTTAGATCAACATCTTCTTTTTGTGCCTCACGAATTCTCCATAATAAGTCAGCTTGATTTACCGCTTTTAAACCCATTACATCGTCGTCGACCAAGACCTCACAAATATTCAGGCATGATAAAGCTGAAACAAGCTCTTGCACCTCCTTGGTTCTACTCACATCACCTCTTCTTCTAATGAGAGCATCCGCTACTTAATTAGCTTTTCCTGGGTTGTAAGCAATATCCAAATCATAGTCTGCAAGCAGTTCCACCCATCTCCTCTGTCTCAAATTCAAATCAGCTTGTGTGAAAATATACTTCAGACTTTTATGATCAGTAAATACTTGCACCTTCTCCCCGTACAAGTAGGCTCTCCAAACCTTAAGAGCAAAAACCACAGCAGCTAACTCTAAGTCATGAGTAGGATAATTATTCTCGTGTTTCCGCAACTGTCTAGAAGCATATGCTATGACTTTACCATCCTGCATAAGAACACATCCTAGCCCAATTTTTGATGCATCTGTATAAAGAACATAAGGTACTCCAACCTTAGGTAATACCAACACAGGCGTCTGAGTTAAATGCTCCTTTAACTTTTCAAAACTCTTCTCACATGCATCTGTCCACTCAAACTTTATCTCCTTACATGTCAATTGTGTCAACGGTTTGGCCATACCTGCAAATCCCTCTACAAATTTTCGATAGTATCCAGCGAGGCCAAGAAAACTACGAACCTCTGTAGCATTCTTAGGTTTAGGCCAATGAGTGATAGTTGTAATCTTCTCGGGGTCAACAGCTACTCCAGCCTCTGAAATAACATGGCCCAAGAATCCAATTTGCTTTTGCCAAAAGCTGCATTTTGCCATCTTTGCAAAAAGTTTCTGATCTCTCAACGTCTGCAATACTAATCTTAAGTGCTTGGCATGCTCCTCCTTACTCCTTGAGTAGATCAAAATATCATCAAAAAAAACAATGACAAACTTGTCCAAAAACTCCCGAAACGCGTTATTCATAAGTTTCATAAAAGCTGCAGGGGCATTAGTCAATCCAAAAGGCATGACCACAAACTCATAATGCCTGTAACGTGTCCTGAATGCTGTTTTTCTTACATCCTCCTCTGCAATGCCAATCTGATGGTAACCTGATGCTAAGTCTATCTTCGAAAACCATGATGCTCCTTGCAGTTGATCCAACAACTCATCTATACGTGGTAAGGGATACTTATTCTTAATAGTCACCTTATTCAATCCACGATAGTCTATGCAAAGTCTGAAAGTT